TGTCGGTGGTTGATGGACGGTTCTCCCCTGGATGTACTCGGTCAGGCTGTTGAACACCTGCTTGGCCATGGGGGATTTGGGGGTCCCAGGAGGGGTTTGGGGGTCACGGTGGGATTTGGGGTGTCTCAGGGGGTCCCAGGGGGGTTTGGGGGGGTCCCAGGTGGGTTTGGGGGGTCCCAGGTGTGTTTGGGGGGGCCCCAGGTGGGTTTGGGGGGTCTCACCTGGATGTACTCGGTCAGGCTGTTGAACACCTGCTTGGCCATGGGGGATCTGGGGGGCCCAGGAGGGGTTTGGGGGTCACGGTGGGATTTGGGGTGTCTCAGGGGGTCCCAGGGGGGTTTGGGGGGGTCCCAGGTGGGTTTGGGGGGTCCCAGGTGTGTTTGGGGGGGCCCCAGGTGGGTTTGGGGGGTCTCACCTGGATGTACTCGGTCAGGCTGTTGAACACCTGCTTGGCCATGGGGGATCTGGGGGGCCCAGGAGGGGTTTGGGGGTCACGGTGGGATTTGGGGTGTCTCAGGGGGTCCCAGGGGGGTTTGGGGGGGTCCCAGGTGGGTTTGGGGGGTCCCAGGTGTGTTTGGGGGGGCCCCAGGTGGGTTTGGGGGGTCTCACCTGGATGTACTCGGTCAGGCTGTTGAACACCTGCTTGGCCATGGGGGATCTGGGGGGCCCAGGAGGGGTTTGGGGGTCACGGTGGGATTTGGGGTGTCTCAGGGGGTCCCAGGGGGGTTTGGGGGGGTCCCAGGTGGGTTTGGGGGGTCCCAGGTGTGTTTGGGGGGGCCCCAGGTGGGTTTGGGGGGTCTCACCTGGATGTACTCGGTCAGGCTGTTGAACACCTGCTTGGCCATGGGGGATCTGGGGGGCCCAGGAGGGGTTTGGGGGTCACGGTGGGATTTGGGGTGTCTCAGGGGGTCCCAGGGGGGTTTGGGGGGGTCCCAGGTGGGTTTGGGGGGTCCCAGGTGTGTTTGGGGGGGCCCCAGGTGGGTTTGGGGGGTCTCACCTGGATGTACTCGGTCAGGCTGTTGAACACCTGCTTGGCCATGGGGGATCTGGGGGGCCCAGGAGGGGTTTGGGGGTCACGGTGGGATTTGGGGTGTCTCAGGGGGTCCCAGGGGGGTTTGGGGGGGTCCCAGGTGGGTTTGGGGGGTCCCAGGTGTGTTTGGGGGGGCCCCAGGTGGGTTTGGGGGGTCTCACCTGGATGTACTCGGTCAGGCTGTTGAACACCTGCTTGGCCATGGGGGATCTGGGGGGCCCAGGAGGGGTTTGGGGGTCACGGTGGGATTTGGGGTGTCTCAGGGGGTCCCAGGGGGGTTTGGGGGGGTCCCAGGTGGGTTTGGGGGGTCCCAGGTGTGTTTGGGGGGGCCCCAGGTGGGTTTGGGGGGTCTCACCTGGATGTACTCGGTCAGGCTGTTGAACACCTGCTTGGCCATGGGGGATCTGGGGGGCCCAGGAGGGGTTTGGGGGTCACGGTGGGATTTGGGGTGTCTCAGGGGGTCCCAGGGGGGTTTGGGGGGGTCCCAGGTGGGTTTGGGGGGTCCCAGGTGTGTTTGGGGGGGCCCCAGGTGGGTTTGGGGGGTCTCACCTGGATGTACTCGGTCAGGCTGTTGAACACCTGCTTGGCCATGGGGGATCTGGGGGGCCCAGGAGGGGTTTGGGGGTCACGGTGGGATTTGGGGTGTCTCAGGGGGTCCCAGGGGGGTTTGGGGGGGTCCCAGGTGGGTTTGGGGGGTCCCAGGTGTGTTTGGGGGGGCCCCAGGTGGGTTTGGGGGGTCTCACCTGGATGTACTCGGTCAGGCTGTTGAACACCTGCTTGGCCATGGGGGATCTGGGGGGCCCAGGAGGGGTTTGGGGGTCACGGTGGGATTTGGGGTGTCTCAGGGGGTCCCAGGGGGGTTTGGGGGGGTCCCAGGTGGGTTTGGGGGGTCCCAGGTGTGTTTGGGGGGGCCCCAGGTGGGTTTGGGGGGTCTCACCTGGATGTACTCGGTCAGGCTGTTGAACACCTGCTTGGCCATGGGGGATCTGGGGGGCCCAGGAGGGGTTTGGGGGTCACGGTGGGATTTGGGGTGTCTCAGGGGGTCCCAGGGGGGTTTGGGGGGGTCCCAGGTGGGTTTGGGGGGTCCCAGGTGTGTTTGGGGGGGCCCCAGGTGGGTTTGGGGGGTCTCACCTGGATGTACTCGGTCAGGCTGTTGAACACCTGCTTGGCCATGGGGGATCTGGGGGGCCCAGGAGGGGTTTGGGGGTCACGGTGGGATTTGGGGTGTCTCAGGGGGTCCCAGGGGGGTTTGGGGGGGTCCCAGGTGGGTTTGGGGGGTCCCAGGTGTGTTTGGGGGGGCCCCAGGTGGGTTTGGGGGGTCTCACCTGGATGTACTCGGTCAGGCTGTTGAACACCTGCTTGGCCATGGGGGATCTGGGGGGCCCAGGAGGGGTTTGGGGGTCACGGTGGGATTTGGGGTGTCTCAGGGGGTCCCAGGGGGGTTTGGGGGGGTCCCAGGTGGGTTTGGGGGGTCCCAGGTGTGTTTGGGGGGGCCCCAGGTGGGTTTGGGGGGTCTCACCTGGATGTACTCGGTCAGGCTGTTGAACACCTGCTTGGCCATGGGGGATCTGGGGGGCCCAGGAGGGGTTTGGGGGTCACGGTGGGATTTGGGGTGTCTCAGGGGGTCCCAGGGGGGTTTGGGGGGGTCCCAGGTGGGTTTGGGGGGTCCCAGGTGTGTTTGGGGGGGCCCCAGGTGGGTTTGGGGGGTCTCACCTGGATGTACTCGGTCAGGCTGTTGAACACCTGCTTGGCCATGGGGGATCTGGGGGGCCCAGGAGGGGTTTGGGGGTCACGGTGGGATTTGGGGTGTCTCAGGGGGTCCCAGGGGGGTTTGGGGGGGTCCCAGGTGGGTTTGGGGGGTCCCAGGTGTGTTTGGGGGGGCCCCAGGTGGGTTTGGGGGGTCTCACCTGGATGTACTCGGTCAGGCTGTTGAACACCTGCTTGGCCATGGGGGATCTGGGGGGCCCAGGAGGGGTTTGGGGGTCACGGTGGGATTTGGGGTGTCTCAGGGGGTCCCAGGGGGGTTTGGGGGGGTCCCAGGTGGGTTTGGGGGGTCCCAGGTGTGTTTGGGGGGGCCCCAGGTGGGTTTGGGGGGTCTCACCTGGATGTACTCGGTCAGGCTGTTGAACACCTGCTTGGCCATGGGGGATCTGGGGGGCCCAGGAGGGGTTTGGGGGTCACGGTGGGATTTGGGGTGTCTCAGGGGGTCCCAGGGGGGTTTGGGGGGGTCCCAGGTGGGTTTGGGGGGTCCCAGGTGTGTTTGGGGGGTCTCACCTGGATGTACTCGGTCAGGCTGTTGAACACCTGCTTGGCCACGGCCATGGCTTTGGAGAAATTCCTCTTGCCCTGCTCGTCGATGACGTCCTTGCCCGAGTAGTACCAGTAAAAGTCACTGATGGACTCCTGGGGACAGCGGGGACACCTCAGGGCCTGGGGACACCTCGGGGACACCTGGGACAGGTAGCACACCTCTGGGGACAGCGGGGACACCTCAGGGCCTGGGGACACCTCGGGGACACCTGGGACACCTCTGGGGACACCTGGGACAGGTAGCACACCTCTGGGGACAGCAGGGACACCTCAGGGCCTGGGGACACCTCGGGGACACCTGGGACACCTCGGGGGACACCTGGGACACCTCGGGGGACAGCAGGGACACCTCTGGGGACAGCAGGGACAGCGCTCAGGCCCTGGGGACACCTCTAGGGACACCTGGGACACCTCGGGAGACAGCTAGGACAGGTAGGACACCTCTGGGGACACCTCTGGGACACCTCGGGGGACAGCTAGGACAGGTAGCACACCTCTGGGGACAGCGGGGACAGCGCTCAGGCCCTGGGGACACCTCTGGGGACAGGTGGGACACCTCTGGGGACACCAAGGCCGTGGGGACACCTCGGGGACACCTGGGGACACCAAGGCCGTGGGACACCTCGGGGACACCTGGGGACACCAAGGCCGGGGGGACACCTCTGGGGACCCGTCCGGTGTCACCTGCAGGCGCAGCAGGTAGTCCACGGTGCAGATGATGATGTTGATGGTGGTCGTGTTCCCCGTCTGCGTCCTCAGGTAGTTCTGGAAGTCTGGGGGGGACAGGGACAGCCCCGGGGTCACCTGGCTGTCACCTGGCTGTCACCTGGCTGTCACCTGGCTCATGTCCCTCTGTGTCCCCTCCCCCTGTCACCGCCCTCTTCCCGGCCCCTCCTGCCCCAGGGACCCCCAGAGACACGAGCCATGTCCCCCCCCGTGCCCCCCCGTGTCCCCAGGTGTGTCCCCAAGTGTCCCTCCATGTCCCCAGGTGTGTCCCCAGGTGTTCCCTCATGTCCCCAGGTGTGTCCCCATGTCCCCAGGTGTGTTCCCAGGTGTCCTCCCAGGTGTCCCCAGGTGTTCCCCCCATGTCCCCCTATGTCACTAGGTATCCACACACGTCCACACATGTCCCCAGGTGTGTTCCCAGGTGTCCTCCCAGGTGTCCCCAGGTGTTCCCCCCATGTCCCCCTATGTCACTAGGTATCCACACACGTCCACACATGTCCCCAGGTGTGTTCCCAGGTGTCCTCCCAGGTGTCCCCAGGTGTTCCCCCCATGTCCCCCTATGTCACTAGGTATCCACACACGTCCACACATGTCCCCAGGTGTGTTCCCAGGTGTCCTCCCAGGTGTCCCCAGGTGTTCCCCCCATGTCCCCCTATGTCACTAGGTATCCACACACGTCCACACATGTCCCCAGGTGTGTTCCCAGGTGTTCCCCCATGTCCCCAGGTGTGTCCCCAGGTGTTCCCTCATGTCCCCAGGTGTGTCCCCATGTCCCCAGGTGTGTTCCCAGGTGTCCTCCCAGGTGTCCCCAGGTGTTCCCCCCATGTCCCCGTGTCCCTAGGTATCCCCACACGTCCCCACATGTCCCCAGGTGTGTTCCCAGGTGTTCTCGGGTGTGTCCCCACATGTCCCCAGGTGTGTTCCCAGGTGTGTCCCCAGGTGTCCCCACACGTCCCCACGTCCCCAGGTGTGTTCCCCCATGTCCCCCTGTGTCCCCAGGTGTTCCCCCATGTCCCCAGGTGTCCCCAGGTGTGTCCCCAGGTGTGTCCCCAGGTGCCCCCAGGTGTCCCCAGGTGTCCCCAGGTGTCCCCACCGTTGTTGTGGCCCTCGCAGAGCAGCTGCAGCAGCCGGAACAGGTCCTGGGTGAATTCATCGTCCGACATCACCTTCTCCCCTGGGGGGACACGGGGGGGACACGGGGACAGCGCCGTCACCTGGGGCCACACGTGCCACGGGGACACCTGGGGTGGCACGGGGACACCTGGGGTGGCACGGGGACACACCCCAGTGGCACAAGGACACCTGGGATGGCACGGGGACACCACGGAGTGGCACGGGGACACACCCCAGTGGCACGGGGACACCTGGGATGGCACGGGGACACCACGGAGTGGCACCAGGACACCACAGAGTGGCACAGGGACACACCCCAGTGGCACAGGGACACCTGGGGTGGCACAGGGACACCCGGGGTGGCACGGGGACACCACAGAGTGGCACAGGGACACCATGGAACGGCACGGGGACACACCCTGGTGGCACAGGGACACCATGGAACGGCACGGGGACACACCCTGGTGGCACAGGGACACCAGAGTGGCACAGGGACACCAGAGTGGCACGGGGACACCACAGAGGGGCACAGGGACAATCTGAGCTGGCACAGGGACACCTGGGGTGGCACGGGGACACCCGGGGTGGCACGGGGACACGTCCCAGTGGCATGGGGACACCGCAGAGTGGCACGGGCACGATCTGAGCTGGCACAGGGACACCCTGGCACGGCAGGGACGCACCGAGATGGCACCAGGACACACCAGAGTGGCACGGGGACACCCCGAGGTGACACAGGAGTGGCACGGGGACAGGCAGGGTGGCAGTGGGGACATCACAGGGGACATTGTGGCAGCACAGGGACATGCTGGGGTGGCAGTAGGGACAGGCAGGGTGACACTGGGGTGGCACAGGGGACACTGGGGTGACAGTGGGGACACTGGGATGGCACAGGGGTGACATTGGGGACACCGGGGTGGCAGTGGGGACATTGGGGTGGCACGGTGTTAGCAGGGAGGGGGCACGAGCGGGGACAAGCAGGGACACGGTGCCAGGCCCCCCCCTCCTGCCCCACAGAGCCTTCAGTGACCCCTGAGACCCCCCTGGGACCCCCTGGGACCCCCTGGGACCCCCAAACCCCCCTGGGACCCCCAGCCCTGCCCCATAACCCAGAGCTCCCCTAAATCCCCCACAGCCC